AATATGGTTTTTGTGTGTGTGTGTATATATATCTTATATGTATGTATCTTAAAGTATTGGAAATAATTGTGGGAACAGAAATAAAAAATGGTATAAAAGGCAAAACTGTAAACACCATGGGAATTCCATCTCTTTATCATGTGAAAATGAACTGCATTAAACTAAAGTATTGATAGTTTGCACCGTGATTGCTTGCCAACCAACCAATATGAAATTGTCACACTAATGTGTAAAGCCTATAAAAGTACAGGTAGTTATATTATGCCAACTAGAGCATAATATAGAGCATAGGTGGTGATGTTAACTCAGTCATGACTCCCAGGACTGAAATACTAAATAGCACACATGCAAAAAAATCAAAGGTTTGGCTGACCAAGCGTACTCCTTGTGAAATATTTTGGCAAAACTTGTATTTCATTAAGAGCTGTACACAAGACCCTAAACAGGGCTTGATTTTTAAGGAAATTTCCAGGCTATCGTATGGACAATCTGATCTGGATCAGAGGTTGTCCGGAAGGCTGTATTGGCTGTCCAAAAAACATAGACCCTCAAAAAAGATCTAATTATGACAATATTGATGTACAAAGACCCTAAAAAAAACCAAGTTATAAGACTTTTGATGTTATTATATTCTATTTATTTCCAAAAAGTGCAATTAATGTTTAGTTGTTGATTTTGCATTTTTATTCCACTAATTTTTGTTGAATTATTTCCCGGGAAGTTTTGTTACATTGGAAAAAATAAGCCCAAACCATGCGAATGTTACATAGTATCTTAGGGAAACAAACAGTTAATGACCTGTAAAACTTTTAGACACAACAGCAACCTTGGCTAATCATGTTCAATGTTTTCATTCTAACCAGCTTGGTCTGCCTAACAAGTACAGTAAAGTACAGCCTGTAGTAAGACTAGACTTGCATTGGAACTCTCACACATACTTCTATGCTATATTATGTACACAATGTCTGAGTACTGCACACACACACACACACACACACACACACACACACACACACACACACACACACACACACACACACACTGTCGTATATAGTGTTAGTTATACTACTAGTAGTAGTTAGGTTAGTTAGTTACGTACGTAGGAGGAGGACGGACGAGACGTCGTTACGT